ATCTTTTTTGTCCTGAACACAATGGCTTTGGCCTTGTGAAATTTGGATTTATAACTTTTGAGTTATGCATTTTTTATCTTTATGTGTCTGCTGAAATTTGTAAGATCCGTGTTAATTCGCTCAAGTGTCCAAAAATTCTGAATTTTTAATATGTTGCTCCTGTACTTTATATTGACTTCGTGTATAAATCTCATAATATTTGGATTGAAATGATAGGGTAAATAATTATATGTTCATATTTTATGTGATATTTGATACTGTAAAAATATCAGAAAATTTGGGATCCAATAAGTTGTGTTTTTGTTAAAATCGGGTTTTTGGCTGAAACTTGTTTCATTTTTCATAAATTCCATATTTATGTTTTAAGTTTAGAATTTTTATATGTTGCTTTGATCATGATATAGTATTTACGATAAAAATTTGAAGTCTTGAAACGTTGATATGATCAGATGTTAAATTCATATTCATAAATACTGATAATTTCATTAAATTGTTATAAATGACACACTTATGTTTTAGAACTGAAAATTTGTGAATTGTCTTGGTTCAACATGTAATATCATGTGTTCAATTGTTGGATTAAAATTATCATGTGTTCAATTGTTGGATTAAAATTTTCTTCAATGGCTAGTCATTTGATAACGTGCTATACTCCTCCTAATTTCTCAAAATTTTGTTCATATTATCCAAATGTGAAATTTTGTGTAAATTTACTTATAAGATGTTATATTGTTTTTGAATGTTATGTGTTTATATTTTGGAGTAACTCTCGGTTGAATCTTGAGATAACCGAGAGATACCTATGTAGTGCGGGCTGCCAGCAGCTCGTGGCCGGCAGTGCGCCCGCGCCCGGCAGCGCGCGAGTGCCAGACAGCGCACGAACGCCAGGCAGCAGGCGAGCGCCAATTAGCACGCGAGTGCTGACAGCGCCTGGCACCGTGCGATAGGCTAGCAGCGTCTGGCAGCGCGCGCGTGTCAGTGCCTTGCCCTATGCGAGTCAAGTTCGTAATCTAATTTTTCAGACTTTTTCCTGAGCCTTTGACCATAGTTGACCTTTAACTGATTATTTGACTTGGTCAACTAATTATTTGGCTATTATGTGGCTTTTCATACTTGGTTCCGAGTGAGTCGAGTCAAATGTTCCATAACTCCACGAGATTATCCACGAGCCACTTAGTTGAAATGTTTCAACTAAGTTTAAGTGTTCGTTGGATTAATAGTAATTGAGTAGTTATCTTGATTTCATGTATGTGTTTTGAGGTATTGACCTCGTCACTTACCGGGCTTCGCTTTTTTATTTTCTACCATCAGGTGGTTACATTTAGTGTATCTATATTTATCACACTTGTTATTTCGTATAAATATTTATTTCAATAACTTTAGTATGCCTGAGAACCCTAGTCTAGTGTTTTACACCGCCAGGGGTGTCTTGCCTATAGTGCCTTTGATGAATGTGAAAACAGTGAGAGGTCACCTGATCTGTGTGCGAATTTT